TCTCGCTTCATCTTTATTCTTTCCAAAAAAGGGTTTTATACCATAACACAAGAAAGCAAGTGAGCAAGAAAGCAAGAAAGCAAGAAAGCAAGAAAGCAAGAAAGCAAGAAAGCAAGAAAGCAAGAAAGCAAGAAAGACAAGAAAGCAAGAAAGCAAGAAAGCAAGAAAGCAAGAAAGCAAGAAAGCAAGCAAGAAAGAAAGCAAGCAAGCAAGCAAGCAAGCACGAAAAGCAAACCCACAAAACAAAGCGATATCATCCTATAAAATTCCTCCCCAATTCCCTCCATCGCCGCATCGTCAAGCGCGCTTGGTATAGGAAAAAAAAGGAGAAAACCCAGTTTGGATTAGTAGATGGACGCACGCCTCGAATAGGAGATAGGGATGGAGGATCATGTGGGTTTAGACTATGGGATAGGATATACTCCGTATATATATACATGTGTGTATATATAAATACCCAAAGCTACCTTAAAAAGTAGTAAGAGGTCATTTTAAATGGTCCTCTGACCCTCTTTCAAAAGAGACGGTTATTAGACCGTTTAAAATCAGTACTACTTACAAATCAAGAATACTTCACCTTTTTAATCGTCCCGAGCTTAGGGCCGTCCTATGGCTGTCCTCGAACGTGAAACCGTCCCGGAGAACGTAAATAAATTAGTACGCAAATAATCTCTCTACTACTTGCTCATCATCCTTCCACTACCTAACCAGCCCCCGTAATAATACAACAACAACAACAACAACCAGCCCCCGTAACATACTACCACCTGCACAGACGTAGGGCGCGGAATCACGCGGGCGAACTTTTGCTGAATCGATCGATGTCGATGACAAAAAATTGAACGCGTTGATTGATCTACAAGCCGTGGCAGCGATACCGAGAAATATCTCGGCATCGAATTAATTTCTTGAAATGACTCTTGACAACGATTTTTATTCAAAGAGATGATTTGTATGTACAACCAGGTCTATCTTCTGTAAGATAATGATCGATTCGAACGATTTCAGTCTTTCAAAACGAGCTTATGAGTAAGCCTCTTTTGAAAATAAAAATAATAGACGGGAACGGCCATAGGACGGTCTTAAAACGCCCGAAAAAAAGGTCCCAAGACAATTATCATCATCATCATCATATTTACTACCATCGGGCGGGTATCCAAAACGCAATGCTCAAACCCTATGGACTTCTTAATAAATAAAGTACGGCGACGTACTAGATAAAAAGAATCATATACAAAAGTACGATCGAATCGAGTACGATCGAATCGAGAGTAAGAACCACGTCAAAAGAAAACCTCTCCTCAAATAGCTCAAGACTTATAAACCTCTGAAAAGCAATTCAAAATGCTATGCGTCCAGTTTTCTCTCGAGAGCTATCGGATACCTACCGGTACGTATAGCCTTACGAGCGGCCTCGATCCGTATAACACAAACATCGTTTTTTTTTTTTTCTCTTCTTTTTTTTTCGTTTCGTCGTAAAGCAGCCTAAAGAAGACTCGCGTTCGTACTGAGCCTTTAAATAGGTAAAGCCGGTCACTCACTGTATTCACAAAACGCTCTTTCGAAGAAAGCGCCATACCGTGTTTTAGCGATGAGATCGAACAAAGCCTCTTTCCCATCTCATCTTGTATACACGATCCTTTTTTTTTTATCGCACATCTTCTTGATCGTTTCAATCGCTATACCCGTACCCGTCAAGTAAGTATAGATCGTAATCGGCGTAGTATTTGAAAAGAAAAGAAAAAAAAAAAAAAAAAANAAAAAAAAGGAAGGTTCAAAGTCGCCGGTAAGAGAAGACCGCTTCGAAAAAGACGTCGCGTAATCGATGATCCAATTTCGGCTTTTGAGACTCTTTGTCTATCTCTCTCTCTTTACCGTCCGTAAGAGAGAAAGAGAAAAAGAGAGAGCTGAAGGTTCGCAAGGGGCACCTCGTACAGGGAAAGAATCGTAGCCCCCCCGGTCCCAAGACGGGTTTTTATACGAAAAGACGAGGATTCCAAAAAAAGACGATTTCATCGTCTATATAAAAAAGTTCCATTGAAGCTACGATTCAAATAATCTAAAATGGTTTGTCTTCGAATGCTCCCCATCTTACGGTAAGTATCGGCCTAGGGTGATCCACCAGGTCCAGCCATGCCAACCTATTTACAAATCGTCCCTGAGAGAGATGGTTATCAGACGATCAGCTGACCGTCTAGAAGCCCGTGCATTACCCTGTAAGGTAGATGTGGAGGCGGTATACCTAGAGCGAGGCATAGATAGATATACGTAGTACTACGTCCCAGGCGTAAGTATTACCCCTCGAGGGTAGGGTAGCCAGGAGGTTCAGAGTAGAAACTAAACTTTCGAGGCACCCTCGAGGGGTAATACTTAGGCCTGTACCGTGGTATATGGATACCAAAGGCTAGATGTTGCAGCGCTATACCTAGAGCGAGGCATAGATAGATACATTGCCACGGTACAGGCCTAAGGATTACCCCTCGGAGGGTGCCTCAAAAGTTTGGTTTCTACTTTGAGCCCTTTGGTTACCTTACCCTCGAGGGGTAATACGTACGCCGGGGACGTAGGATATGTAATGCCTTATGCATTGTCAGTCGTAGCAGGGCGGTCGAGAGAACGCAATCCGTCTCGGGCCTGAGTCTGAGCTTGAGCTTGTAGAACTCATGTCACGCCTGGCGTTCTCTCTAACTCACAGTGCTCGGAGATACAGGATAGGGATGCAGAAGCTTCAGTGGATCAATGTCTCCGAGCTTATTGGTACGCGACGTGCCCGATAATAAATGGTATCCCCCCCCAGCCGGTCCCAGTCCGTCCATAACCCCGACCGCGCCAATCAAGACAGTGTGAAATAGACCCAGTCGGAAATTCGGATGATATACTCCAATCTGAAATAGCCTCTCGACCTGGTTCTCTAACGCCAAATTCGCCGTAATAGCACTTAGACTCTCCCTCTTGTGTATCTATGCATCAACACCCGAGCTCTTTCCCACATCCTCGCCCCGCGGAGTCCCGCTCATCTCGGAATCAGCATCACTCGGCCCGTCTGCCTTCGCGCCCCAGCTCCAAGGCATCCAGCTTCCCGTGCTCCCACCACCCCGCGGCAAGGGCTGCCGTCTTGGCATCTCCCCCTCCCCCTCCTCCGGCCCAGACTCAGCCTCAATCTTCTCAAAGTCTGGCTCGCTCTTCCTCGTGCTCAGTCCGCTAACGAATCGATCTTCCCCCTCGCTGCTGCCGTCGAAGGACATACTCGGGACGTGACGAGCCGTGGACTGGCTCGACTGGCTCTGCAGCGCACTGGCTTCTTTATCCAAAGCGGAGAGGAGGATCGCGAGGCGCTCTCGCTGCGCGGAGATGAAGGACAGGCGCTCGACCGGGCCGCTCACTGACGGTGGGATGAGCGTCCCGGAATTGGACAGGTCTCTCGACTGGGTGGCCGAGGTCTGGTCGCGGGACGTGGCGGCATTCACGGCGGAGGCGAGCAAGGAGTAGAAATCGGTTGCGGTGCTTGCGGCTGGGGCGGCTGGCATGGCTGGCATGCCGGGGAAGGATGGGCGTGCCGCGGGGAGGTTGAAACGGGAGATTAGGTTTTGTGCGTAGGAGTAAGTCGTCGGGGGCGATGGCGGGGTGGGCTCCTTGGGCGGGAGACCCAGGAGGTGCTGCTTGACGAACTCTATGCCCTGTTTCAGATATGTGTAGCCGGCGGCCTTTGCGCGGTCGTGGGCGGAGGAGATGAAGTTGTCGATGGCGCGCTCGTTGTCCTGGAGCCATGGGTGGACGTGGGATTGGTAGAGGACTTTGGCGCCTTGGGTTTGGGGGAGGATGAGGTAGAGGAGGAAGCCGAGGCGGACCCAGGCATATCCGGGGATCCTAGAGCTTTTGTTAGTTGTGACAGTGAGGCGTGAGATGGAGGTGGAGGGGGCGTGTATACCAGAACAGGATGAATCCGGTCCAGGACTCAACGAAGAGGGCGACGGCCAGCACGACCCAGTACATGAGCCATGGCGCCAACCGTGCTGGGTCCGAGGTCTTGAGGGCTTTGTAGGAGGCGAATACGGGGAAGAGAAATGTAGGGATCGAGCTGGAGATGTGGCACGTCAGTCGAGGGAACCTGGTGGGAATGGGATGGGAAGTGATGGGGATGGGGATGGGAATGGAGGTGCTGTGGTGGGATGGGCGGTGATGGCGGTGATGGCGGTGATGGCGGTGATGGCGGTGATGGCGGGGTTCAGATTGAGCTCACGATAAGAGGTTGGCGAAGGTCGAGAAGAACATGGTCGCACGTCTGCTGTGGAAGGGGAGAAGGGGGATGGGAGGGGCGGCGAGAGGTGGTGGTAGGGCAATAGGAGGACGGTGTATTGTTGTTGTTGTTGTTGTTGTTGTTGTTGTTGTTGTTGTTGTTGTTGTTGCTGTTGCTGTTGTTGTTATTGTTGTCGTCGCCGTGCACGCGGGGCGGGGGGCGAGGGCGAGCCCGGGCAGCGCTGGATGTTTTAATAGGATGTTGATTCTCGTCTGCCGCGAGTCAAGGAGACACGACAAAGAGGCACGACACGAGTCTTGACATTCCGAGGTCTCGTGGGCAAGCGCAACCCCGCCTTTTACTGTTTTACATGATTAATTCTGCTTAGATCGTGAGTTAAGATATTATATTAACATCTTGAATTAGCATCTTATATTAACATCTTATATCACCATCTTATATCAACATCTTATATCAACATCTTACAACCCCGTGATGCATCGGAGATACCGGGTCCGCCTCAAAACCATCGACGCCACCCTCGCGACCGAGTATACAGGCGCAGATGCAGATGCAGATGCAGATGCATATACGTAATTCTACAGATATTAAACAGATAAATGGGGGATGCATCGTGACACCGTCTTACGGCCACTGAATGCGAAACAACGCAACAAGTAAATCCATGCACGCCATAAGAGATCCTGTTCATATGATGCCGTCGCCCGTTCCCCATCGCTCGAGTCCGCTTGAACATGACACCTACGAAGGTAGCCTGCGTGACGTTACATTCAACGAAAGTAACCCGCCGACGGAGATCGGATGGTTCTCTATTTCAACCTTCAGTCCGCCGTCTCTCGCACCAACTAGCACAACGAGCACACCTATAAAAATTGTAACAACTACCACAACTACCACAACTACCACAACAGCCATATACAAGCACATACAAGTACATACAAGCACCACCCCCCAATCATGTGCATCGTCATAGCCACCACCGCCCACCCAGCCTACGCCCTCATACTCCTCGACAACCGCGACGAGTTCATCACGCGCCCAACCTCGCGCCCGCACTGGTGGACCTCGCACCACCAACACATCCTCTCCTCGCGTGACCTGCAACGCGCCGAGCAAGGCACCTGGCTCGGCATCACCCGGACCGGCAACCTTGCCGTGCTGACCAACTACCGCGAAACAGACACCAGCGATGCCCAGCACCCCGTCGTAGGGGCGCGCAGCAGAGGCGGCATGGTGACGGCCTGGTTGACGGCCGCGGTGGACGAGAGCACCGACGCCTTTGTGCGTCGCCTGATGGCGGGGGATGGCGTGAAGGGCGTCGGCGGCTTCTCCCTGCTGTGTGGGAAGTTGCGGAAGCGCAGAAGGGGTCGGGAGGGCGAGAGCGAGCGCGAGAGCGAGAGCGAGAAGGAAATGGAAAAGGAGCTGGAGCCGCTGGCTATCGTCTCCAATCGCTGCGAGGACCCCGAAAACGTGCCTTGGTTCGCGGAGAGGCGGGGGGGAGTCTACGCTCTCAGCAACAACTCCTACGACGACCCTGACGTCTGGCCGAAAGTCAAGATGGGGAGGGAGAAGGTGATTCAGGCCGTGGATGCGCTGCTCGAGAGCGGGGGAGGGGAGGAAGAGTTGGTGGAGAGGCTGTGGGAGGTGCTGGACGCAGATACGCTGCCGCCGCAGAAGGAGGGGGAAACGTTCGAAGATTACATCTTTGAGTTGCGGAAGTCGATATTCATCCATCCGATTGGGTCGGCTGCGACGCCTCCGCTTCTGAAGCCGGATGTCGTTGCAGCGGCGGATCCCAGCATTGCCAACGGCCCATCGCTAGCGAAAGGAGACTTGGAGTTGAAAGATGAGGAGCGCCCGGATCCTGTTACTGCGGCTCCCATGACCGGGATCTACGGAACACAGAGACAGACTATTATTCTGGTCGACTGGGAGGGTAAAGTCACGTTTCGAGAGAGGAGTCTTTGGGACTCGGAGGGGAATCCGGTGAAGAGGGGAGAGGGAGATATGAAATTCGAGTTCCAGATTGAGGGGTGGAATGGGGATAGTAAGAGCAATGATTGGCCCCCCCCCCCCGCGCTGAGCTTTAACTGCTAATTTCACAGCAGAAATATAGTAAACCTGTGCAAAGAAAGGTTAAGCTACATAGACTGCACGGTGTTTTGGAAATTAGTTTGCAAATATACCCCTTTGCTTCTCACATGTGTTTGTTTCGCAGTGCCATCATGACGCTTCTATGGAATTGGTTACAAAGCTTTGCAGTGCTGTATTTGCGTATTGTTGCATTTGTTACCTCCGAATTGTAAAGAATTGTAGAGCGGATCTGATCTAGGTTGCACGCTACTATTGGAAGCCACAGGTTCAAAAAGAGAACACTGCTTGCTATGTGTCAGAGTGCCCAGACATGAAGTCTGTACAGGAAGAATATGCCACTATGCTGCTTAAGCCTTGATCCCCGCTAAATGAGAAAGGGGATTCTCAGTTTCGGGAGCGGACGGCTGTTGCTAAACGGCCAGAGCAAACTCATGATTTGAGAGTGCTTCGCCTAGAATCGCCAGCCTGCTCTGCAAAGACGTGAGATACGGCACTGCTACATTGATCAGTGTCTAGTCTTTTCTGTCCGCTTTAGGTTCTTGGAATTACATATATCAAGGCGGAAGAGAGGACTTCTAGAATCTTGTTTGCCGAAGTCGCGGAATAGATAAGCTACTGATGGATATCTTTTGGTTTTCATATGATTGATTAAAACGAAGATTCGGCTTGGATTGAATGTTTTTTTTTTTACCGGTTTTGGCTGGTTTCTTTGCGTCTTTTAAAGGATTTCAGAAAGACAGAAGGCTATTGGAAAGATGGTCTTGCATTGCTATATGGAAATAGTATTCTGTGACTATGATGCCTCTTTTGCTCTTACGCAGTTGTTCGATTGCTTCACGGCAGGCTCAAGCATAGAAGCATAATTTTTGAGGACATCGGTGAACAGAAAGTAACTATCTATACGCATCAGTAGTCTTGAGATTGCTTTGAGAGGCCTTGAATACTAGCCCCGTGACCGGCGGCGCTACCTCGAAGCGGTAATCGAAGCGAATTGTCAACATAACTCTTTTCCTCCTTCCCTTTCCCGAACCTCCCCAGACAGTTCGAAACAAGACACAACCTCACAACAGCCATACCAACCCCGCTCGCTGTGCGGGGATTTCTCGATCTCCACCAACCCAGCACGGGAGTCGAAATGGAGCGCACTAGCTTGGAGCCACCGGGCTCGCGCCGCCATCCCCCCAGCGAACCCTCTCCTCCGCCGCCGCCCAAGCACCGCGCACAATCTCTCCCTTCGCGCAATACGGACCCGAGCCCTCGAACTCGGCAGTCAACGCCGACCCTCGGCCCCGCCCTCGATCCCGACCTCGATCCCAGCCGCCCCAGCCTCGAAAGGAGCGTGCCCCGACCTCTGCGAAGCTCAAGAACGCGGAGACGCATCTCCTCTCTCTCAACCCTGCAAGCCCAATCCCCCTCCGTCGCGGCGTCGCGCCACACACGCAGCTTCTCGTCCGCGCCCGCCACCGGCCCCGGCCCAGCGCCCCCCACCCACGCACCACCGCGGTCTACGCGGCGGGCAACCTCGACCTCGACCTCGACCTCAATCCTCTTCTCTCGGCCTCCGCTCTCGGCCATGCGGCTCACGCGTCGAAGCGCTTCCTCGCACGACTGTGTCTTTGTGCCGAATAGGGTACCGGAGCCTGACAGGCGGGTCGCGAATCTCGCGCTTCTCGATGCGGTAAGAGCGGGTTTCCCTTCTTTTGTTTCCTCGGCTGGAGAGCTTTAGAAGTCTATTTATATATATATGTTTCTATATATATATATATATATATATGTATATGTATATACGTCTCGATTGAAAGGCAGCTGACGACGCGCAGAAGCTAGCTGCGACCGTGCCCGGTGATGGGAAGGAGATGGCCGAGCCTAAGGCTCCGGCTCTTTCGCTGTTGAAGGAGAAGCCCTTGCCGACCGAGAAGCCGCTGCCGCCTCTCCCGGTTGGTCTAGCTAAGGAGGAGGAGAAGGAGGAGAAGAAGGAGGAGGAGAAGGAGGAGGAGAAGGAGGAGGAGAAGGAGGAGGAGGAAGGGGATAAAAAGGGGAAGGAGGGGGAGTGGAAAGCCGAGGATGGAGGTAGCGATGGGGACGGGGACTGGAACGGGTCACTGGCCGCCAGTAGCGAGTCCGACGAGGAGGTCTTCTTCGGCGTAGCTACCGCCGTGAGCGTCACCCGCGGTCGGGCCAAGCTGGTCGATATCCCACCTCGGACGGCAGGGCGCGGATGTTAGAGATAGTGGTGGTGGTGCTGTGGATTTTTGTGTCCTTTCTTTCTGGGGAGGGGGGGGGGGGGGGGTGGGGGGG